CGGATTCGAGCGGATTTAAGTAGCATGCAGCTCGTGTATACCCGTTGATAGACGTTTGAACGACGCACGGTTAAAGTGGAAACGCAATCGGCGCGCACCCCAACAAGGAATCGGAGATGAATACGGGCCGATACGGGAGGGAAAACGCGGTCAGCCAAGCGTAAACGTGTCACGCATAGGCACGTGGCCGTGTATGTACTGGCGAGAAGGCATAATACGAACGACTTCGACATGTCCCGTGACCCTTCCAATATGTTACCAACGTTTCTTTCACCGTTCCCCATTCCATCCGATCGTTGTATCAGCTAGAAGAATAATATTGTGGCTAAGATACGACCCGCAGCCGATCCAGTCGCTCTCTCATATCCTTGTATCCCTCTAGCAACATGTTTCCAAAACCGAATGCAAAGAACACGAGATTCCTACGAACGATATTAGGCCAATCGAATCCAAATCACGGATTGATCGCGTCCAGAATACAAAAGTAGGTATTGTATTCTCTAATTACTATTATATTCTCTAATTTCCTGATACAGGAAGATCCACAACTACCAGATCCAGTCTTATCCTGATAATTATTGTGTTAATACAATTATGTTGGCCGACCGTTCAAACTTATTCTCGTGACTCCTTAGAATGGCAATGTATTGATAGAATTACGCAAGATGATAATTATCGAGGACAAATTCATAAATACTCACTGATTACTCTACAACAGCTGCATTCAGTAACCGAAAACCGTTGTTTAATACCATTGAATCTTTGCCTAACAATAAATTTAATATCAGGAAATTTACCTCACCCCAAGCAATCTGCAAGTAATTACCCTGATCAAGATAATCGCCTCCGTCGTTATCCAAGTTATCCTTCGAAACGCTGTGATTGCCGGTTGCGGTGTCGCCCGATAAAGCGAATCGATTCCTCGATACAGCGCTGCCGAAAGTGAATGAACACAATGGCAGAGGGAGAGCCGCTCGAGGAGATCCTCGCATCGAAAATCGAACGGGGCGAAGCCATAATTCTATCAAACGGGCATTGTTTACCCGGCGAAAGAAGGATCGTCGATTCGGCGGCGCCCATTTTTATTGTCGTAAATCTGGCAGCGTGAATGTGGCTGGTCACGCGCCGTTTCCCGGTGACTTGTTGCCCACGAACCCATGTCCCCCCGGGGTTTTCGTGGCCGTGGGCCACGAGCCTGCGAACGAAACCAGTGCCAGAACTCCGTTGGATCCGGTCGGTTCCCTGTGACTTCCTGGCACCTCTCCGCACCTCCCGCTGCCCTCCGGCCGAAAATATCGCGAACTCCTGACACCGCCACCGCAATATACTTTCTATAGTTCACTCTTTCTGGCTGGGGAATTTTGAACCTCACCACCTGAAGCCAGTTTGACTTTGTTAGATTGATTGATTTGAATGATCAACGCATTGCAGATTTCTTCCAATCGAAAGTTCAAAAAGTGACTGGAATTTGGCTCGATTGTAGTTGATGAAATCTCGAAATTTTGAATTGAAAGGAAGTTGGACAAAAGTGTGCTCCTTCCTTTCGACTTATTTTTTTGGATACATCGAGTTCTTGCGCCACACCAATTCCGGATACACGGACATGTGCACTGGTAAAGTTGCAGTTTTTACACGAGCCGATACGGGCGAAGAGTTCTCGCGAATGTTGACGTTTTCCAGGATGAAGTAGGGGTGTGCACGCTAATCCCTGTTACCTTGTGAACCACTCGTTTTTCCAGCAAGCACGCTTAAAAGGGTCGCGTGCCACGCTCGCTTGCTCATTATTACGCACCGTGCTGGCACGGTGATTTATGCCCGAAATAGGCACGTTGCCCCGAGACGGCTGCACGTGTATGAGTCAGTGATAGCACTTAAGGCCAAATCGCAGAGTGATGAATTGACTTATTGTCGGGCGTAAATAAGAACGGCGGGGTGCCGGTGTTTTAACTTCGTTCAGACGCGATTAGCCCGTGTATATTAAATTACTCGATTCGCCGACGGTTCCCACTTGCCCGGAAGCCGGATGTTGCAACCATCGGCATCGAACCGGCGTTGCCAACGTTGTTTATTTGAAAGCCATCAATTTATATGCGAATTCTTCTTGAAGAATGTTAGAATCACCAGAAGTTTATGCAGGAAATCCGTTCATTTCTTCTAAAGTATGGCGCAGCCATGATCTGTGAGGTTTCTTGATCGTAACAATTTCGAGTACATGAAACAGAACGATTAATTGAGTAAAGCGAGTAAAGTAAGATTACTCAAATCTATATACTACTATATTATTCATATGTATACACATACCTACTTATTGTAGACTGTTAGGTCTTCTTTCAAGCAATTTCGTAATTCTATTTTACAAACTATAGACGTATGAAGATTATTCTGCGTTTTCTTTATTCCTCTTTTAAACTGAAGAGCATTGATCTGTAAAACTAGAAACATATATCTCCATGAACATGAGATATGCCACGAGAGAAAAAAAGTTTGATCCTGAGGAAATGTTGTAATACCAGAAGGCATAATCTTTTGGTACAGCCGATAATTTTAATTGCTGCGATAAAGTTATTCGCGGGAGTCAAGCCGCAGGTGGGAGGAGGATTGTCTTATCGCGGAGAAGGATCAGCGAGCACGATCGGGTAGAATGGCTGAGAAATTAAGAGGGTTTTTCGATACAATGCGTGAAAGCAAGGAAACAAAGTGTGGCACGCAACTCCAGGCTCTCTAAAGTTGCGCGAGCAAGCGAATCGCTTGGATAATTGGCTCGCGCGTTACAACGCGATCCTTTCCTGGTAAAACCTCAATTAATCACAATTAAGCGATCGTCGGTCTCGTGTCGCGTCGTAGAAACTTTCCCACCATCGCCACGGTCACTGCTAAGCGTGTAAGTGCAGACGATTTCGCGTGTAGCGTGTCAGTTTTTCTGAAAATAATTAAAAATTACGGTATTATACTGGTGGAGGTGATTGTAAAATGTCTGAGAAAATTACACGGCTTTGAATGGATTCATTTTCAGTTGAGAACTCGAGATAATCACGTAGCATAAAGCGTCCCGTTTTTTGTTTTTTTTTTTTTCAAATCAATATAAGAAATAAATAATACTGAGCACCTAAGTATATTAACATACAAGAACGTTACAAGAAAAATAAACAAGCATAGATATTGTAATAACTACTGCGAATTTTTATTCAAATTTAAATCATTATGAATTATAAAAAAATAAAATCTAAACCACAGTTTGCTTCATTCCCTAGAAATTACAATTTTTGACATTTTGTATACCTTAATGTCTCACACACACACACACACATATATATATACATATATATATATATATCTTGTGCATTTTTGTATCATTAAATTTTCCATAAACATTCACAGTCTAGAAGCACCTAAATTGGATATCTTCAGTAATTGTAAAAGCTAATTCCTCGAAATATCGTTGGTAGTTCTTCCTGCGTCGCGTATTCCAGGACGACTCGAATGATCGCAAAAACAATGTTCAAGAGGGTTTAATGTTCCTTACGGGGAGCGAAGGGGGACGGCAGGAAGAAACGAAACCGGAAATTCCAATATAAAATGTCGGAGAAACACGGGAACGGAATAGTAACGATAATTGCGCGGAGCTGCGTATCGACGTCGGTTGAACAGAGGTGTGCATTTGGAAGTTGCCCAAGTGTTCCAAGTGTTCGAAACCAAGTCGAGCATCTAGACGTGGATGATTCCCCTTCTCGCAGGCCTTCTGGTAGCACTGTAGCGACGACTGAAACAGCCAAAGAGTGCAGCAGCTTGGAATAGCGGGCCTTTGATCCTCCCCCGTGGGTGCTGTACGCCGCCGTAACGGGATTACCCCGCCCCGGGTAATTGCTCGTGAATGCACAGATATACGCGTGACAATAGGAGAATGTCGCGCCGATTCGAGGTGACGTAACGTGTCTGACGTACACAACCGTCGATGACTTTCTGTGTGCTACTGACCTCTGAACTTTAGTGTTCGCAGACGGTGTAATTCTTATCTCTTAACCCCCTCACTTTTAAAACGTCGTCTTTGAAATATCATGAATGTCGAGCTTGACTGTAACGTGTTCATTGCACTGAACACCTAATGTGGAGAACTCGTGTAGTCGAAGGTGACTACAAGCAACCAATGTCAAAGATGACTATAGTCACCCAACGTAAGGAACTTGCTGTATACATTAGAGATACCTGCAATTAATTTGATCTCAAGTTAGTTTACATTATTTGTGATAAAGAAATATACAACCATGTCCAAACCTGGTTTCAACTAAATAAGAAAGCAATTATTTGACAACGTTGAATATGGATAGTTGTCAGGTAAGAAGCATAGTTTCTCTTCTGAAGATTTGTTAGGAAGATTGGACAGGTTGACACAAGCAAGTTAATGAGACTCCTTTGATGATGTTGGTCTGTACAATAGGCAGAAGAAACTTGTTGACTGTCTGGACAATATGATTGGTTTAACTGGTTCTTCTTACGTCATGCAGTTGAATAGATCACACAGAGTAGATTCATCTTTAAATTTCACATTCTTGCCTTTCCAATGTTTCAGTTTCAAATCAGACACTGTGAGATTCTACAGTAAGTAATTTACGCTACGGCGGATGAAACAGCTGGGACAGGGATGCAAATGAGATCTTGGCGGGCAGGTGCTGCATGCTAACGCAGCGTAACACCAACTGTCTGATTTTGCCTGACTTCGTGTATTTCCGTCAAACTATGGAAACATATAGATACATCTTCTACAAAATCTCAACTTCCTCCTGCTTGCTATTATCAAGATTCATCTCTTCTTTGCAAAGAACTTTGCCTCCCATATACACTTCTGCAAAACTGTAAAAAAATAGATCTTTTCTCAAAAAGGACAAGAAAAATTTCAATATAAAAAAAAAGTATAGATCATTTCGCTGTTTTTCGTTGCTGTACGGTCAAAATTCTATCTTCTGCCGAAAATCAATGTTTGAATCTCGTTTATCTATGACAGTCGCCCGGACACGGAGAAAGGAATACAGTGGAGATTTCAGAACATCAAGATTCCGTGTCGTCGTCGTGTCAGAGGTTGTCTTTTGACGTGGAAGGCCAGCGAAGTCGGTAGTCCTACGGCTACACTGATTGCGGCGGACCCTCGGCGACCTGGACCCGAGGCGTTGCATCCCTCGTCCAAGATTGTCCCGCGTCCCAATCAGAGACGAAATCAAATTGTTTAACACAGCGGACACCAACTGCTATTTAGAGGCAGCATCTGCCTCGCACAATCAAACTGCAGAACTGCTCCTATCGTGTTAGCTGAGAAAGAAAACATTTCTAAGTGTCCTGATTCATTGGTGTGTATCTCGTAATAATTAAGGCTTCGTGGCCAACCAAAGTTCGTCTATGTGTAAATTTTTCTCCTTCTTGGAAAATATTTCAAGGGGTTAATTTCTGGTACGGTCTACCAGTTTATATTGAAATATTGAGAGACGATACTTCTTGTAATATAATAACACTGGAAAACTACAGTTTTAAAAAATGTTTGGCATATACACATATTTTCAGAAAATACATACACATATCTCCAAAGCTAGTTTCTATTAAAATTCATTGATTCCTTTTAATCTAAAATCGTATGCAGAACCAGAAGTATTCATTATCAATTCCTATTTTAATCCTTTCCTTCCTAAACTTTTACTTGACCGTACGTCGTTATTGTTATTTGTGCGTTGTTAACACAGATTCCAATTGCAATTAGAAACGGTTATCCTGTTCGATATCAAAGACTGGCCTTCTCGACCAATTGCCAGCCGATTACCAGGTTTCGACGGTTTTCGGGGTAACGAGAAGATGAAACCGATAACGCGATACCGGACGACGACAGGGAGGGGGCGATTTCCCGTAACGAGAGCATATAACAAGGCGAAATTAAGGGGCATTGTGCCTTAAACAGATTGTACAGTGGCGCGAACGTGACCGGTGGGCATGTTTCCCCGTTGCTCGATCAACTTGCATGTATATACACTGTAATACATAAGTCACTGGACATTTTGGATAAAGACAAATGAGCTTTGTTTGATAACACTCGACGCATTATTTGTATTACTACTACATTGCCGATTTTTTATGAATTTATTTTGAAGCACAGAATATGGAAAAGTATATAAAATACCTAAGGAAGTAGTGCTTCCTGTGAAGTTCAGTATGCACATTAATTTTCTATCGAGGTTCTATCTTTTTCAATTTGAATTATTCGCATTCTTTGAATTGAATTAAATTCTTTGCATTGAATGGAACTGTCCTTTAAATTGAAATAAATCTCCCTCGCACTTTCTGAATTGAACTGAATTCCATGCCTCTCTGAATTGAAGTAACTTCCCCATATTACCCAAATTTTCTAAATCTTCTAAATTGTGTCTTTCGTTTAAAAGATATGCTTTTTAGAATGGAAGCATATTCCATTCAAGAACAAATATTCTGTTCCACACAAATCTCTCTCATTCACTTATAAATTATTCATACACTATTTAGTGAGTTCATCAATATAAAGTAAAGTTCTCCAAACTTGCTTCTATTCAACCTTAATCGCCAAAGTATCAAATTATACTAATTGTAAGATCAAAATTATCGAGTGTCCAATGACTTATGGACAGAACTCGTATGTATATAAAGTGCAAGGAGTTACGATCCTGATAATGCAGTAAAGGAAGGAATGAAACGCTGATGGAACGTAGAGAAGCGGGGAGGAACGTATACGGACCACTCAGCCCCCTGTTTGCCTACACGAAAATCCTCTCTAACGGATTCTAACGCTCGACCGAGCTTGTACTTTTTCGTCTTCGATGAACCGTCGATTTTCCTTGCACCCTTTTTCTAACAGACTTTGCCATTTACATCATTCAAATTCCTCTGCAACGCCTTTGCCGATGATAGAACACCCATTTCTTCATCATAATCGAGCGTCCTAAATTTCTTCATTTCTGTTAGAGAAAGAGAACAAGAATGCTCGTTAGTGATCGTTTCAACTCTTTATATACTGACGATATTTAAAAATATTGCTTTATATAAATGTTTCTGCACTGTGAATCTGTCTAGAGTAAGTCTAAATTAGAGCATTTGTTATAATACATATATGATAGATAAAACCAATTTCCACTTAGGTTCCACTCGTTTAGTTAAAAATTTAATGAAAAATAGTAATACGTATCGCTTTAGTAAGATTTCACAATTTCTTATAGTATTCAAAAGAACGTGTGAAAAAGTAAATATTTTATAATGACTTGTTGGAGGATGACAGGAGAATGTTCAAGTAATATATTCTTGCCTCGCACATTATTACATCTTTCCAACTGCAATTACAGCCAATCGATGCTTACAAGCATCTTACACTCTTACCTTCAAATTTACTTTACTTTCCTTTTACTTTTCTATGTTATTTTTTTCTATGCCAA